AAATTGCTCGGATTAAAGATTCTTCATCCGCGGGATTTATGTCTTGAACGGCGTACGTGCATGCATTTAAAAATTCTAATAACTTATGTCGCGAGGTTCCGTCAAATTCGGGAATCATTGTTCTTGCTTTTTTTAACGGCAAGTAGTAACTACGTCGATTTCTGATGTCGCGGTCGGTTCGCCCGTATGTGGCATTAAACGCGTCATTATCGTTCTCTCGGCGGTTACATCCGTGACGTGGCAAATCCATAATCGCGTCTTCTACTCGCGTTACTCGCCTATTCAATGCTCTTATTTCAGTGCGCATTTCATTTAGTATTTCGAAGAGTTGCGTTCCTTTCTTCTTTCCTCGCGATGTGTTTCGGGAGGCGGCGTGCGATTCGCCTCCGCTATGTTTTGGTCCATCTGACGAATGGATAAATGGCAATTTGCGTTCTGTGACGACGTTTTCCGGTAACTCGGGCTCGCTTCCGCTCGAGTATTGAGTTTCTAAGTTTTTTCGCACGTTATAAAGATTTTCTCGCGGTGTTACGCTTAATTTAATCGCTCGTCGGGCTGGTTCGCTCAGTAACCACGATCGGTTCGCTATCGGTTTCGGTATATTCGAACCGGTAAATAATAAACCGGTAAATAATAAATTTTCCGGTTCCGACATTCACGCAGTTATAATTATTAAATTTTTTTTGGACTTACAATATTATGACGGCTCGCATGATCGTTCGCTGTGTTAGTAGGTCGCTGACGCTGCAGTCCTTCGCTCGGCGGCTGATACGGCTGACGATGCTCGTCGTACGGCGGTCGTTGTCCGGCGTCGGTGCGTTGTCCGTAGAGTTATCGTAGGTCGCGATGCTTGTCGGCTCACGTTTCTGCTACAGCTGTTGTGGCGATGCTCGTTCTGTTGTCCTTGCGTTTTGTTCCGTCGATTATGGTTTCCGTCAGCTTACGTTTTACATGTGCTGGCGTGCCTGCCCTGTTTACACTCGGGGTGCTTTGCAGGTCTTGGAGAAGGCTTGGCTGCTTCCGTTCGTCAACTTTAATTCGATTGGTTGCTGGCGTGCCCGTTTTTGAATACAGTTGTGTCTTTTTCAGATCTTAGCGGGATGAGCTCGCTGACGTCCTTTGGCAGATCCCACACTTGGTTTAATTACAAAGTCTCCGCACGTCTCTCGCGTCGCGTATCGCGATATCGGATATCTTGGCGTGCGCGTGTCTGGAGTCGGGTTTCGGTTGCGAGACTCACTTCTCGATCTTATGTATTTCTTTCTGCCGACTGCGTGGCGTTAATTTAATAGTTTCCCGTAACATGCGTTATTGATTGCCCGCGTAATGTTAATTAATGATAAAGACTGGCCGCCGCTCGTTAGCGATGGGACTTTATATTATCTCCCCTTGGTTTCCCAGGAGGGGATCGTTTAGCGACAAGACCATGTGTCGTGTCGCTCGATTTTTGCGGCAAGATCCGGATGCAAGCTAAGGAGTTCTAAGTAGGACTTCTTTGCTTGCATTTTCGCAATTTCCTTTTCGCTTTTAGGTAGGACCTCTACGTTGCATTTTCGCAACGCCTTTATTCCGCTTGCCTTGATTTGCAATGAAGTGATTGCGCGGTCGCTCGGGCTTCGCGCGTGGCTCGCGTTGTCAGCGCTTCGCTCGGTCAACGTTCGTAACGTGATCTGTATTCGCGTTACACGTTGAGCAATGTCTTATATATCGTATAAAATAATATATCTCTAAAATAATATGTATCTAGTAATTCGTATATAACCTTTTCGGGCTATAACAAAGCTTATATTTTAAAGATACAGAGAAATTAAATTAGAAATAGGTTTGGGTTAGATTATTTCTTCCGGACGTGGAGCCCCCGTAGGGGGGGAGGGACTTTTTTATAAATGAAAGCGTACGAACACTGCACCTGGCATTTTGCAAACTTAACCTATACCTGTCAAAAGCAAGTATGGATGCCTTAGAACATATATAAATGGAACGGGAATGCCTTTGTTTCCCGATAGAAAAACACGTCGGAAGGAAGTAAGAAAGAAAATCATAGTTGCCTCTCTCTTGTGAGTTACTCTGCTCAAAAGTGCGCATGCACGGCCATGTGTGTGTACACAAAGGTATGTATACTACAGACACGATGCTTGTGTGTGTAGTTACTCCCAAGAGAGAGGCAACTACATTTTCTTTCTCACTTCCTTCCGACACTTTTCAGCCTGCTATTCCCCTTCCATTTATATATGTTCTAAGATGGATGCATGCAAGCAGTAACATCGAAGCACCGTTAGCGCAATCTTTCGTCAAAGACGCCAACCGTACAAGAAATACATTGCCATTATTACATGTGTGTTGTGTACGTGTATATATACGTGTAGCATAATACCACTATATTCTATGCATGCGTTGTGTACATATATAGCGGTAAAGGGACGACGACGACCAGGAAGACGACGATGATGATGATGATGATGAAGACGTTTCTTACATGAAAATTTCCACATTTCGACTTTGCTTCATAATATCTCTGCTTTATAGAACAGGCAGAGCGAAAATAAAGACACTTTCCTTATATAAATCGAAACCAAGCTATCGATTAAGCCTATCAAGAATTCGATCGGTTCAGCCGCTATTCAGATCTGGTAATCTAAGGTACTCTCAACTATCCGACTCGCGTATAGATACCCGGGGTGCCTCACTCTTGTTACGCGCGGTCTTTGCTTTGCGTGACTTGGCGCGAGACATTACCGTGTCTCTTGATTCCATACATTCAATAAATAATATTTTAGTTAATAACTTTTTAATAAAAAACGACCGACGGCTAAAACCTTCTGAAGGTCACTCAGAGGATGATCTTGACAACATATGTCAAGGTCAAGGTCATCGGGGCTGCATCCCCTAAACCATCCGCTCTCTCTGTCCTCTCTCCGTCGCTTACTATTTCTCCTATACTTTGTAGAAAAAAATCATTACACCTATTTGCGATATCCATTTCATCTGTGTATTGTTTTCCGTTAAAGATTACTTCTTTCAATGTATGATTGTTTTTCTTGTTTCCTATTAATTCCTTTAATGTTTTCCTATCTATGTATATTTTATTCGTAGTAATCTCTTTTACTTTTACGTAATGTTTGTACTGTTTTATTTCTTTGCTTTTTATACACACACTGAAACAACACAGACGCGCGCTGCGCGCGCACTTTTATACATTTTTCAATTTCTTTAACTTTTCTTTTCTAACTTTAAATTTTTCTTTCACAAATTGTCAAACTGTAAAAATTCTCATGATTTGACAGTTGCAAATAACACGAATGAAGCAAGTCGCAGCGCACAAGCGAGACAGCCAATCAGCAACGTGGAAAAGCGACAACAATAAACTTCGATATATGCAAGTATCGACTTTACATGCCTTTTTTATATAGGGACTAGCACACAGCGCGCGCTACGCGCGCACCTTCCATATCCATTACCAGTACATTTTAAAACGCGCGCTTCGCGCGCGCCGTTTATTCTTTTTCATTTAAACATTTTTTTTTATGATATATATACAAAATCATATACGTCACTAAATACTCTAATATCATAAATATTATTACCTAATATCATATTCTTCCTCCTTCTTTTTTCCTCTGGTCTCTCTTTCTCTCTCTCTTTCCCACCTCCCTCTCTCATTCTCCCTCAACAGCTCTCTCCCCCTCCTCACTCCCTCTCACGGAACTCTCCTCTCTCTCTCTCTCTCTCTCTCCCTCTTGCTTATTCTTCTTCTTCTTAAATTTTAAATAAACTATCCTCTTTTTACATTCGCTCTTTAATTCTTTCTTTCCCTCTCTCTCTTTAAATTAAATAAAATAGATAATATCAATAATTTTTAACAATATTTCTTAATAATATGTAACAATATATTTAACAATACTGAACAATATTATTACCTGATATTATATTTATTCTCAACCTTTTTTCCTTTTGTCTCCCTGCCTCTCCTTTGCTTGTACTTTTTCTTCTTTAATTTTAACTCTCTTTCTCTCTCTCTCTCTCTCTCTCTTGCTTATTCATCCTCTTCTTTAATTTTAAATAAACTATCCTTTTTTTGCCTTCGCCTTTTCTTTCTCTTCTCTCTCTCTTTCTCTCTGTCTTTTGCTCATTCTTCCTCTTCTTTACTTTTAAATAAAACTTTTCTTTCCCTTCCTTCTCTCTCTGTCTCTCCATCTTTTATTCATTTTTTCTTCTTCCTCTTTCTCTCTATATTAACTTAATTTAATATATTTACAAATAAATATCAATATATGACAGTAGAGTATATAGGAGAGTTCTAACTCAGGTCCTCTGAGGGGGGGTGAGGGGCGAGGGGAAACAGCGCGGGGGGTATGACGTCACGCGGTGGACCGCGGCGAAACCGATTGGCGAGGGGTCTGCGGAGAGGGGGGAGGGGGACCGCGGCGAACCCGGTAGGCGAGGGAACCGCGGAGAGGGGGAGGGGGCCCGCGTCCTAACCGATTGGCGAAGGGTCCGCGGAGAGGGGAGAGGGGACCACGTCCTAACCGATAGGCGAGGGATCCGCTAACCTAACCTAACCTAACCAGTAGGCGAGGGGTCCGCGGAGAGGGAGAGGGGGGCGCGCGAAACCGATGGGCGAGGGGTCAAGAGGGAACGCGAAGGTACGATGCCGCGAGGAAGTGTGAGAGAGATAGCGCGAGGCGTTCGCAATGTGTGGAAGAGGGATAGCGTCCGCATGCACGTTGGAGAGAGATGGCGCGAGGCATGCATTTGGGAGAGAGAGATAGCGCGAAGCATGCACTTGGGGGAGAGAGATAGCGCGAAGCATGCACGTGGATGATACGGCGTTCGTAAGGCGGTGCGAGAAAGATAGCGCGAGGCATGCACGCGTGTAGGAGAAGGATGCCGTTAGCATTGGCGTGGGAAAAGGATGACGTTCGCGGAAGAAAGAGAGAGAAAGAGAGATAATGCGAGGCATGCATGTGGGAAAAGAAAAGAAGAAGGCGCAGAATGTCGTTTGTAACTTCCTTGTATAAAACGAATCTAACATAATATCTATATTAAAGTCTCCTATTATCATACATTCTCCCCGTATTATTAACTCTTCTATTATATCCTCCAGAAATCTCACGAAATCACCATGCGATGCACTCGGTGAATGATATATTACCATTATTATTCCTCTATACAATTTTTCTTTCACCTCAATCGCAGCACACCAACAATTCGATTCTAATTTTTTTACTAATACTATTTCATATTTAACATCATCCCTTATATATAAAACAACCCCTCCTGTATTTCTATTTTCAGCATCGCATCTAATTATACTATAACCTGGTACGTTCACTTTACTGTCTTCAATTTCAGCAGTCAATCTTGTCTCTGATAACGCTACGAATGCCGGATTTATTTTCTTCATAATCTGATGTTGTATCTCATCTTTATGCGCCATCAAACTTTGCGCGTTTGTATACAATATTATTTCCGCTTCCTTCTGTAGTTGCTATTTCGCATCTTCCCAGCCGGCTCTCCTCTTCTCCTCTTGTATCGCCCTTTTAAATGTTGGACATTCTGGGCTAAGGGCGTCGTGTTCATCACTTATCTTCAGGTTGTATGTTCGAATTTTAAACATACAATTTACACATTTTTTCTTTGTTGCCGTACATTCAATCGCTTTATGATTTCCCGCACATTTGTGGCATGTTTCATCTCGCGTACAATTTTTTTGCAATATGATAGTATCCCCAGCATTTAAAGCATCTTTTAACATTAATGTGATTGAATATAGGACATTTTCTCCATCCTACATTTAGTTTCTCTTTTTTCAACATCAATTCATGCGTTTCTTCATCTACTTCAATTATTATCGAACCTTCTTCTTTTTCTCTTCTTCTAAGTTGATTATTATCATTTCTTTTTTCTTTAACTATTTTCTTCACTATTCGCATTTGGAATCCATCATTTATTGCATCAATTCTATTCTGCTTCTTGATTGTAGTTATTAAGTCATCATCATCCAATCTCATTTCTTCTTCGCTGACATTGATAATTTTTATTTTGGGCGTTATCTGCGGTGATTCCGTAACTTTGAAATTTTCTCCTAGTTTGTCCTGCACTGTGGCTTTCAACGTTTTCATTTCTTCTCCAGTTTCACAACCCAGAATCACTGTTCCCTTGCTTCCTTTTTTTAGCTTCGTTATTCCCATCGCCATGTTTTTGATATCTACCTTTTCTTTTATCAATTTTTTTGTAACTTCATTCTCTTGTTGAATCTTGGGTTTGATAATTATAACATTCTCTTTCTTTTTCTCTTTAACCGCTTCATAGTAGCTCTTTTGTATTCCTCCTGTTGATCCACATACTTCTCCCTGTATCATTCTTTTCAACTCTTCTAGCAGTTCCTGCTTATTTCCCAATTTTGATAATTATAACATTCTCTTTCTTTTTCTCTTTAACCGCTTCACTATAGCTCCTTTGTATTCCTCCTGTTGATCCACATACTTCTCCCTGTATCATTCTTTTCAACTCTTCTAGCAGTTCCTGCTTAACATTTCCCAATTCTTCTCGAACTATTTCCTTGACCATCATTTTAATTTCCTTCTTACATGCTGTTTCATCTTTTATTTCTTTTACAAGCCAATCTAGCCAATCTATTTTTACGTCAATAGTCGATGATCCACTCGCTCCCGATATTCTATTTCCACTACTTGGCGTCGTAAACGAACCTGTAGATCCTGTAGATCCTAGCCTGTCCCTGCCGCCCCCGGCCACTGCCGATGCCTTCATCGTCCATGCCGATAATTATCGGCGGAAACCGCTAATATCAGCGTAAGCGATCAGTCACCTCTGTTCCACTGTCACACGTCAGCACTTTTGTGTCCACCTTTAATGTCTACCTGTCGTGTGAGACTTTGGTGTCCCAGAGAGAGAGAGAGAGCGGGAGAAAGAGGGAGAGAGAGAGAGAGAGCGGGAGAGAGCGGGAAAGAGAGAGAGAGAGAGCGGGAGAAAGAGAGAGAGAGAGAGAGAGAGCGGGAGAGAGCGGGAAAGAGAGAGAGAGAGAGCGGGAGAAAGAGGGAGAGAGAGAGAGAGAGCGGGAGAGAAAGGGAGAGAGAGGGAGAGAGTGTGAGAGCGGGAGGGAGGGAGTGAGAGAGAGGGGGGAGCGGGAGAGAAAGCGGCAGAGAGAGAGAAAGCGAATATGTGTATATGTACACCCCATTACACCACATTATCATACCGCCAAATAAGTAAACAAAGACGCGTGTCCGTATGCGGCATATATAGCGCTATTATATTGTGTATGGAATGTCTCACTTTGTTGTCATTCAATCGTCGGTTGGTGAGTTCGTTATTATTTCAAAAGTTCCTTAAACATTAGCCTTTCCGGGGGACCCTCGCGCACATGATCTGATTAGAAAAGGATCTTACTTCCTTATAATTATATTTGTCAACGTTGAAGCAGCTGTGTTTATTACTTGTCCGTTAGAAAATTATTATCAGTATTAATGCAGCTGAGTTTATTAAACGTTTCGTTAAAAGTTCTTGTTATCTCGTTGTTCTTCCGCCGGAAATTCTACTGCAAGGGGTAGATATTGTTTTTTATTTATCCCGAGGAGACCGGCATGGTTTCCATCACCAATTTCCTTGCGTCTTTCCCACGGATACTCGTGGATGTAGTTACTGACATATGACAATATTTAAAAGAAACGTATGGCACAAGATGCTTTGTTTATTGAACGGTTCGTTCTTATCACCAACTGACGATCGTTACCGCAACGTCGCGGAAGAAGGGAATCGAGGAGTCGCCAGGACGTAACACCCCCAGCCTTAGACAAATGTTGGGGAAAAACCCAACATTTGCAAAAAGGGAAATAAAAACGGATTCTTTTCTTTCGTGATTTACTAAAGTATATCGTAAATTGCATGTACTTTTATGCATGCTGATTTTATTTATTAAGAAGGAGGAAAAAGAAGGCGACCTCCAAAACCCTTTTTCTCTGTCGTCCTCCTTTTACAAAAATATATATATATATTTTTTTTTTACCTGTTCTTTTAAATTTTCTCGTAATAACAAGAATTTTTCTCACAATAACAATAATTCTTCTTGTATTAACATAAATTTTGTTGTAATAATGATATTTTTATTTAATACGTTATTAAAGAGTCTTAATACAAAACTATCTTTTCTTATATGTGCCCATTTATGACGCAAGAGAAAAAGGAAACTGTATATGCCATAACGTTTACCTGACCAACATCAGTAGTCTCAAATCTTCAGCTGGAGGTTTTATTGCTCTGAGAGAGATAGGATATTTGTCTTTCTTCTTCCCATTTTTTCTGGTTATCAATGTCCTCCGGACAACGCAGGTGCAGCTTGTCAGGAAGGCTCTCGATGCTTAGCTTGAATTCTCATTTACTGTGAGTAATTAGGCATTGATTGGGATATCATGTTGAATCCCATAGTAAAATGTCCAGGCTTCATTTGCCCGGATGCTGAATAGTTATAGGTGGATTTGCTGATGGATGTAGAGCGCTAAGATGACTTGTCAATTGACAAATGCTGGAATAGTTCTCCTTGTTTTTTTTTCTTTTTTAGCTATTGGTTGAAATACCGTGTTTGTCTGCAGAATAATAAGCTAGATAGTTTATCACTAAATGTAGCTTAGTGATCGCTTATCGGTTGCTGGAGTCGATGATATAATTCTTCTGTGATATATTTTCTAGCTCATTGTTTCCCTCCCCCCCCCCTTTTTTACGAATGATCAGGTAATATATATATATATATTTTTTTTTATCAGAAAAGATAGTTCTGTTTTTGTTATATATGCATATTATATAATATAATATTTGATCTATATATTATGCTAATAATATTTTTGTCCGCTAAATTAATGTTAAACGCAGTAACATTTATAATGTTTATATGTGTCTAAGACTAAAAATATATATGTGTGTGGGTGTATATATGTATAATATATGTATATGTATATATATATATATATATATGTATATATATACACCAAAAGTGGCCTCTTTGATTTTATAAATTAAAAGAGATAAATCTTAAATAGTTTAAACTGAACTGTATTGTGAGCATAGTGGTTGCTAACAAAAGCTATAACGAACGAAAAGATATGCATTATTGCTTCCTCATAGAGGAAGCTTTGTTTTCGTGACAAA